CTTACTTGTTCATTGAACCAACTTATAAATAATGGTTTTTATGTGTTGTACGAACAGAGATAAGCAGTTTGGGAAATTCATCTTACATAGATAAATAATCTCAGTCTTCAGTATGAGTTGGTATTTTAGAAAAGTTGTCTTCAGTTTGGTTAGCTCAAGCAGCCGTCTCGAGAAATAGATTCTCATTAGATAGTGAGAATACTTAACTGTTCAGATATTGCTATAGATAGGTGAATATCCCAGCTATGAGGATTATGATACAACTCGGGAGCTTAATACTTTTATTAACTCCTGTCTCATTGTAGATAAACTGCTTAGTACTAAAAGGTTGGCTCAGTAATGATATTAAACTCCTACCACCGTGCATATAACATCCAATAATAGTCAGTGTTTGAGACGAGGTATTTTACAAAAATAGTTAACTAGTCTATCCTTCAAATACACGAAATTATATGTTTTCAATAATCTGTAGTACAGGAAAATAGGGATATTTTGTGAAAGAATTCTAAGTAGCAGAGTCGTGATATTTTTCTTGACAATCCTGGTTTTCAAGCTTACACTTCACCATGAATTCCTAGGTGACAGGGTAGATGAAACAAACTCCGTTGTAGTGCAAAATAGTATCTTACAGTTAGTCGTGAAATGTGTGTTAAACAGACCGTGCCTCACCATCGTCAACCTCGATGTAATATTAATCGTAGTGGATTTAGGCCATTTGAAAGCTAAGAATGACCGAATGAAGACATGACATCTGTACACAAAAGCTTTGGTCGTTGATCATCGCCATGTAAAAAATGTAGGCTGTCTGTAACGCTACCTAAAGATGTTATTACTATAGATTTTATTGCCCCGCAATCCGGTACAGGTTTTCGCACTAACTTGTGCGTCATATTTCTTCAATAGGTGCTTACTGTACTACCTGGTTGACTAGGTAAAATTATGTGGAGTAGGGTTTAAACCTTCCAAATGTTAGGAATCAGTGTTTCATGAGTCTTGGTTACACGGAATAAAGCTGATCAGTGTGGTGGAGATATATTTACCCTTGATGATTTTCGAAATTCGAAACATTTTTATACGTCTTCTCTGAATTACACTCTTTCTGTTCAGCCTAATAATATTGTATTTCTGTCCACTTTCGGTAACTGTGATGTTGTGGCAAACCGAGGTGGAGAAGTTGTATGCAAAATTTCGTGTTAATCTATCTATCCATCTGTCTGTTTCATAACAGACAATCAATGAATGGTATCTAGTGCTATCATGCCTAGTTGTTGTTTGATTTTATAATGTAGCTACTGTAATGAGTCGCACGATAACATGCTACCTCCGAAAATCTGTTTTAAAGGGGAGTATAAACGTAATCAGTCAAATATTCTGGCTTTAAGCATTAGAGAAAAAATGACAGAATAGAGTAAACAAACACAGCGATAGAAAAATCATTGTTGAACCAGACCCTCAAGTAAGCCAATTCAAGTTATCACGGAATGAAGAGAAGAAACAGAGAGGAAAGGAATAAGTAAAAGATTCGAGATTTTGAGGATGATAGGAAATCTTTACACCTGCAGTATCGTGACCAAATTAGAATCTTTTCACCAAGATTCTCCAAACATTGATTCTTATAGTATAGAGAACTATAGCTAGGTGGTATACACACTCATACATTGTTCAGACTAACATTCAGAGACTTCAGGAAATGGTATTAGATCTAGATTTCAGAACTTGCGGTTTACGTTCAACTTAGCCCTACTTCGCTTAACAACACAGACCGAGGTAAGCGATCGCTAGGCATTTGCAACAAATTAATGACTCACCTAAGTTGCCTACCTACCCTGCATAGTACTCTACTTGTAACCTCAACACGAAACCATACCACACACTAAAAATCTCTTGAAGAATCTATGGTCGAAATCTTGCAATCTCTTAATGTCTTCTACTTTCTCTTACTATTTCTCACAGCTGTACAGTAGGCTACAGCAAACTGTTGCACAGTATACCCATGTAATTGTTTAGGGTTCCTGATCTTTGAGGTTTGTTCTTGGAGGTTGCACCAGGCTACGTGACTTCATCAGCATTCAAAACATACTGATTCTTCCACACGTAGTTGGGTATCTCTATGATGCTAAAGACCACTTTATTTGGCAACCACGAAATTGGCTGTTCTTATCCGATTTGAGATTTTACCAGTTACTGGCCCTATAGGATTGATACAAGGGCTCAAAGGAGTGAAGTAGTTAACACATTCCACCACTTCACTCACCATAATTAAACTAGGAATCAACTAAGATCAGTCCTGACACATCGCAAAATCCATGCCAAACTTACTCAAACTTTTGGTCAAAACATCCAAAATACTATGCATTTAGCTAGTGGTTTCAGCCTATCAGGATATCCTCTCTGCTTACCTTGAGTGATCCATGTGCCCTCCAAACAACAGTCATTCATGAGCAGTCGGAGGTACTTAGGATTATACCCATCATTGCATCCATAACAACGTTAAGTAAGAATGGCGCAGGCAGATATCCTCCGCAAAACATCAAAAAATGCCATTAATTCAGATGACAAGTATCCATAGACCCTTACGCATCTGGGTTACTGACAGGTATGTCTGTTACAAAGCTTGTCGAAGAGTGAAGACCTGAATAATGCTCCCATGAACACGTTTGAAATCTGTTTAGTTTTCTCAGAAAAGCACCTGCCCCAAGAAGAATTGGACAGTAAGTTGCATAAACATTCGTACAACCGACTGCGGAATCACAGTAGCTAGAATACTGCTGTCTAACTGGTTGAATTGTAAAATACTCGCCACAAAACCTGGTACTTTTGAGTTCAATCATGCAAAAAGTTGTTGTGTTTACTGCTAAAATTCTCAAACTGGGTCAGAACAGCTATTTAGTGCTCTCAGTTTTTCTACAGATCTGTGACAGATGTCTATCAGTGGTGAAATCCCCTTTGAAGCCAATCAGTTTACTACAACACATGTAGACTGAAAAAGTCTGTGTTTGAATGATTAACCAAGGAGGTAGATAACAGCCACTGAAAGACGCCAAGTCATCACTCTCCTTGACGCACGATTTAGCCGAAATATGATTAGTTTGGAAGAAGGCTAACAGTGACCAGACCAAGAAGTTACATCATTCCATTAAGTCTCTGACTGATGGTCTCATTCTTCAAGTGAGGTGTCAATAACGAGAATCGATGGATGGAGAATCTCAGTGATATGGTTCATAATCAGTTACAATGGTGCAGGCGTATACACTTTTTCATTGTCGAAGTCTTAAAGATTTTGATGAACTTATATTTGCTATTTCTGTTTCGATTCATAAAAATTGTCTACCTGAATATCATTCTTTATTAATTCACTTCATTTTTGCATCCTGTTGTATACCGTAGTGAATTAAAGTGAAGTCATTCTGCTCCAGGTTTTACATTGGTTTGTTTGTCCGTCTGCCTATCTATGAACTGTGATAAAGCATAGCGTTGCTGAGTTGTTGATTATCAAACAAATTTAACTTGACTCTTATATCCAGAAAGAATCCGTTACTAATTAGACACTCTTTACTTTGTTAACTTGTGCTTGATTCTACTGTACCATTCTTTATCTGCATCAATTTGAACAACTGTCAACCCTGGTAATAATGGTCATTCAACTGCCTCTTCTATATGTGTAAATACTATTCTTACTTTTATTCGTATCATTCTATTAATTCATGAATATTTTCTGTTGTTTTTCATCCCTGCAATTTATTCAGTCATACTTTTAGGTAAATATAAATACACAATGCATTCAACAAGTCTGCTTGTCCGAATGATTTCTTCCTGATAGTTCCACTTTCCTCAATCATACTACATACAGTATAACCAAGGTATTCATTCAAGAAGAAATCACCGGCTACATCAAGGTGTCCGAACATTAGCCCATATTCCAACAGAGGTCGATTAATTTGGTTCAAACTAATCAGCAACTCTACTCGTTTCACGGGGGGTGGCTACCATAACTCAGTGACCTAGTGGACAATCCTGAGTCGTTTGAAGCGATAGGTGCTGGGTTTAAGCCCGATGGGGACACCATCACTCGCTAGGATGCATGTATATCCAGCCGAATAGTTTCAGAAAGGTCTAAACTCATGTGCTACACTTTAGTGCTAGCCACTATTCATCATCAGCATCAAGAATGTTACCGTTTAAACGTTATATCCATTCTCCGCCTATTTTGGGGTATTTGTAGCTGAAAAGATGTTCGTAGTTAGAATCTATTACAATATTTTAATGCAGAGATAAATAGAACACTTTCCCGTGGGGTTCTATGCTTACACTGTGAAGGTTCCAGATGTCCAACTATTGTTGCTTTACAAGCATTGGTTGTATGTTGTGGAACCACAACGTTCGTAAGGTAAAGGTTGGGCGAAGAGTCTGAGGTAAAAGGGGTAATTTAATTGATTAGGCTGTGAACTTGCATCTACTCAGGTGGTTGGGGCATGAATTACTTGTGTCCGCTCACCATTTACCACGACACTCGATGTTAGCTAAAGTAGGGTTCGTCTGGAAATGTTAAGGGTGACTAGACTACACGATGTGATCATAATATTACGTTCCCGAATGTTTATCGAGTAATGTAGGGAAACTTAGACTTCCTGGTTGCGGTCCGTATGACAACCAAAACCAGTGATTGTAAACTCTTAATGAAATGACTTAGAATTTATCGCAGTGGGGCTTATACATTCACATGTCATCTTCATCTTCATATCTAACTTCATTGTTTCATTCCTTTTCTTTCCTTTCTTTAAGACTTTCTGCCACTTTTCACTGCTTTCTTCCATGTTTTACGTCTTTTAGCTTTTCGCCTCCTACCTATGAAGTATAACAACTTAGACTGTTGCACAGCGATGCCAGTTCAAACATTGGTGCTTACTAAGTGACTATTCTGTGATAACTATTCCCTTTTCTGAGATAATAAAAAGATATCCACGTATAAATCGGTAGAGCACACTAATATAATCACATACCATATTTGTTTGAATAGTAATTAGAGGTTGTCTATGATCCGTATGCCACAATTTCATTGTCATATCCGCAGAACACGAGAGGAATACTTCGGGTATAAAAGGTGACCATTCAATTTGATAAACAGATGCCTAAAAAATCAAAACAAGCAAATATGTTATGATGTGATGTTTCTTATCAAGGAATAAAGGTCAAAAACATCGTTTTTACACCTTGTGATTTCAACCTGATAAAATTGACTCCAGATAATGCAGGCGACACAGAAAATCAGGTAACTAATGATCAGTCACTTCCTAGCCAACTCTTACCATGCTCAATTTGTACAGAAATAGACAGACGCAGAGTATTGCATACAGGTGCATTGGTTCCATGATATTAGCAAGATTAACATGAGCCAGTCGATGAGACAAGTTCAGTGCTAAATAGTGACGGTACACTAACGAAACATCAATGATAGTTACGACAGAGTGTTTAAGTGCAAAAGCAAGAAGTGCAAATTTGGGAAAAACAAAAGTTTGTAAACATAGTCAATTAGTGAGAATACACAACTGTACTTGGCTGAACCCCAATAGTTAGTAGTGTAAACTTGCTTAAACAAGAGCTGGGACTTTCGTCTTTATTGTTTAAAATGATGTCATTTTCTGCACTGTGTGAAATTTAATTGGACTGTACAACTGTGAATTCATATTATATAGTTATCTGTTCTATTTTCTTGAGTATAATTAAATTACTACCTAAACTCCCCACCAAATATTTCAGGAATCGGCTTCCTACTAATCCAACTTAATTCTCTATTTACATAGACGGTTTATGAGCACCTAAATGATTTAAAAACAGTTTTCACTAGGGATTGTTATAAACTGGAAGAACCATTGAAAGTTAGTGAGTAGCTGACAGCTGTTCTGTCTGAATCTGAGACTCCTCAGTGGAGCATATCCATGAATATATGAACAATTGTCCTGCGCATCATAAGATCTTGAACTGAGTACGGAACGATGTTATATACTGGTTGAATTGTAATGCGCTTGCTGAATGATATAGTGTGCTTAAACTCAATTTTTTGTTACTCGGTGGTTCAGGAGGCCCAAGCTAGAAGCGAATAACTGTCTCTGACTTCCTGTGATTCTCTAGGCTAATGTCAACCCAAGAAGAAGACTGTTTCTAGTAATTGGCGACTGTTCTGAGCACTTCTTTATAAAGATAATCACCTTATATAACACTAGTTTGTACACCAACAAGTCAGGGATTCAAATCAATAAAGATATTATTTCATCAACTGATGAATTTATTCTTCAGTTGGTTATTCATCATGAAGAAGGTTGTAAGGAATCATAGGGTGAATAATGAAAGGATAAGGTCAAACTAAGCAAGAAAAATTGCAGTTTCGAGATTTATTTTCAATGAAGGGGAATATGTGCTAAGTTATGAACCCCATCAACTGCTTTATGGCCTATAATACTACCTGTTAAACTAAGTGAAACAGACTGAAATTTGATGACCCACTGGTTGATATTCTGATGTGTAAGGGAAACAGTCATATATGTACAACATAAGTTTATCAGCAAATGAAACGTTGATTGATAAAGCTTCGAGTTACGCACCATACATAGGAGTTCAATTTAATAATACAACTGATCAGAACAAAACAGATTGAGCACAATACCTGCATCAGTATACTACACCTTTACCCAAGCTACACCACAAAGCTAGACCAGCAGAACATTTAGTTTTATAATAAGGCATATAGTGAGTTCATTTGCGCTAGTAAAACAGGCCCTTAAACAATTCACAAGTTGTTTAAAGACCGAGTTTTGTCATTCTAATCGACATTAGTCAAGTAGCTCTTTTTGAAATTCCTGTTGCTACATCTGATGATCATTTGTTAAGTAAAAACAAAGGTTTCAGTACAGTCTCTATGTTTCTTGTTGTACAATGTTTAAGTCATTCTGACTTGTTTGGTAAAATCTGCTTAACGCCAGGCTAACTTAAGTAATTCCCTACATCACCCACCGGCATGTTTAGTCAACTAATTTTGAAAGTAAAACCTTAACAGGATCATTATTGATAGAAATTCTGTTAGTAGAACTTTCAGATAGTTGATAAATGTTTAGTTGTCAGGAGCTTTTAGTTGAATTTAAAATTCATGAATAATTTATAGAATTTCTATCTAAGAGGTGAAAATTTCTCTAAAGTAATACAAATAGAGGAAGTTAATGAGGGGAAATGCGAGTAGTTTGTTTCACTTAGGTTAATTTTATGTACATTGGTTCAATTTATTGCAGACTGATTCCGATCCCTAACTAAACACTCAGGAATGTTGCTGTGTTTACAAACGTGGATTTTAACTCTTGTGTGGTCCACTGGGTACATCAGGTAGGTTGATCAGATACTCTCCAAAGGAATATAGATTCAATTGATTGAGTTAGTCACTCGGAGCATATGGACTTACACTACCTATACTCCTGGTGGCATATCTAAGGATGGGGATTCTGTACATTGGTTCAACTTAACGCTATAGATGTATTTAGGTAAGTGAACATTTGTAGTTCATCAGTATTTCATGCTGAAATGTTAAAATCTTTCTTTCTAATCTGAGATGTCCAACAAATAGTGGATATGGAGTTACATTATTCAAAAATATTAGTTAATGTTTCAACTGGAGTTACGAAAGTTAATCCTGTTGGCCGAATCTGCCTACATATTAGAAATCAATGGTTAGAAATCCCTGCTAAAATCTACATTTCATACTGCTTGGTACTTATCATTAAGGTGGATATGGAACTCGAAATTCAAGACTTCAATTAAGCTACTCCGGTCACTGAATAACCTGTTGAACTTTTAATCCCTAGTGAAATATGCATTTATTGAATATGGTAGAAAACATTGGCTGATGAATATCGAAAAGCATGAAACCTAGGTTGTACGCAGCTTTATTTCGGCTAAATATTGAAATTAAGCTCTAAACCAAGAGCACTACAATGTCACTTCACTAAACTTAACGACTACACAATGAGTTTGATCAAGAGATTTCAGTCAGCACATAGGACTACTTTTTATTAACCTAGTTTAGAAATTTCTAATTTCATAATAAAAACGTGCAAACAGACATTTGTGTACATAACAATGTTGACTTTAGTTACTTTGGTGTAGCAGTGGAAATTAAATGTAACACCTTCAAATAAATGAATTATTGAACCGTTCAACATTACAAAATCCATTTAAGTGAACAAAGAATATTCTTTTCAATAACTTTTTCTTCAGGTTCTACAATTATATATACAACTGCAACGATTATGTGCTGACACAAGAAGATAATTTGCAGGTGTATAAACAAATCATTTGTTATTTGAAATCAGATTCAATCAAACAAAACATTATTCGTTAAAACAAAATATTATGCATTAAAATGAAACTAAAAGAAAGTCAGTCATCAAAAAATGCATGTGACTTCATTTTCTGTACACTTCCATTTCCCTACTGTTTGTTGTAAATTTTTTTCATGGATCAAAGTTTATTTAGATAAGACTTTAGATTTGCTTTCAAGAACCATGTCGTTCCGATGATCTTATTCATTATGAAGCGGCATTATGCGTAGACTTTGTTAAAACGCATTTGTAAGTTACAGCACAACGATATCTCGAGTTGACTTCAGCAATTAAATCATGGGTTTTTCAGATCTTGCTTAGTTACTGGATTGTTCCCCATCTATAGTGAATAGCTTGAAACATTTGTGTCTGTATACAAATTGGAAATTACTGCCTGAAAGGTTTATTTTGCTAGAGTTCACTAAGTTCATCATACGGTTGAGGAGCAATCACTCTCAGTCACGTACATGACTATGAAAGACAAAATTCAGTGTAAAACAATGTCTTTCTCCGAAAGACGTCAACAACATCCATGCATAAATTCTAATTTCTTCTAAAGGCTGGTAAAGATAGTATATCAACATGGAAACTTCAACTATGTCAACAGCGCTGGTGATACTAATTGTATACTCGAACTTGGTTGCGATCAAGTATCCACTGGTTGGTAGTGGTGTATCTACGCCAGTTGGTCACAACTCCATACTGCTAGCAGAAGAAATGACCAGTTTTGTGGACATACTGAAGTCACAAAGAGGTTTATTCGTGACCCAGTGGTCAACCCACTGACTTCAAACCTAGATAACACAGGCTCTTAAGCTCTAAAGTGCTAGCAAAAGGAATTCTTTCTAGATCACAAATATGCCTTCGGGATCAATATCAAACAAAGAAAGTGTTAGATCGACTGTATTACTGAATTCATTAAAATATTTAGAGTTAGATTTTATCAGGCAATTGAGATTGGATACATTAATTGGTCACTGCAGAGTGATCAACTTCATGTGCTGACCGAATTCTATCGATCATTTTGCAATGTGGCCACCAGACTAGGCAGCTCAGCATTACTGTGCACTTCGATAGATTTTAGTTGAATGGAGACAATCGACAGAAAGCCATGGACTTAGGTTTCTTACTTGTTGGCACTCGTCAGTAAAGCGTACCTGCAACCTTGACGGAACTGATGTCCCGCCTGAGGCTCAGACCCGCGTCACCCAATGTTTCAGTCAGTCCTACGGGAGGTCACCTGCGCCCGGATAGCTCAGTGGTAACGTCGCTGACTACAACGCTGGGTGGTGCAGGTTCGAGTCCCCAAGCGGCATGTCAATTCCCTCGGGGCTGCAGTATGCCTTGCTGAAAGTTCCAACAAGTACGAAATCTAGGTCCATGGCTTTCTGTAGACTGTCTTCGTTCAACTAACATCTATCAAAGAGGTTGGTTTATACTCACTTGTAAACCAATAAAGGAAAGTAGTAATCGATTAAACCCCATTGGTAGTCTACTGTTATTGGAAGCGGTAAGCGTTGGGTATAGGTTTCAACGAGAAGGCAAACATAGCTGCGAGTATACCCAGCTGATGAATATTAAAGGGATGTCGAGTTTATCTTCTACCTGTAGGCAAAACCGGTTGGCTATCTATTTATGGTCTTGTCATAGTATGCAATTTTGTAGGTCAATCAAAACATTTCATATGATCTTTTGCTCTTTCATGCTTTCTAACTCAGCTTGAGCTAATCGAATAAAATCTAAATTATAAACTAAGTCAGGAACGTGAGGAAAAAAAAGCAGGATTTAATGAATTCATAAATCTTGCTAGAACTTGTCACCTTGATTATACATACCAAATCAGACAATTTACAAAAACATACATACATGTTTACACACAAACTGAAACTTTAACAGAGGCGTGGTAACATAGAAATGTACAGTTTTTACAGGTCAGATGGGAATGC